AGAGGGATTGTCTCCTGTTACAGGTATTCAGAGCTTAGCACAATGGAGAATTAATTCAAACTGACATTTCTGTAACAGAAAGAAACAATGTATTAAGGGGTTGAATCAGGGGTCCCATTGGGAAGGAGATTTGGCAATCCTGCTGTGTTTCACTTAAGCTGACGTCTGTTTTGTACAGCCACTTGGTCCTGTTTTGTGGGATGTCACTCAAGTCTCAGAAGTGAATTCTTTACAAATTTGGCATCTTTTGCTTTTATAGCTGGGAAAAAAGCATCAGAAATAATATGCAACTGAGTCCACAGAGAACATTGTGAAAATAGGACTCCATCTCTTCAAGATGTTTGTAGGAAATGGTTTTACCTCTCAATTTTATATTTGTAAACTATTTGCATTTTTTTGACATTCAATTTTGGCAGGCAGAGACTTGTGAACCAAGGAAATAGGAAGAAAGCTGTTCTTTTAAATGACCCTTAGAATATACATTTCTCCCAGGACTTCTCACACATTACAGCTCTGATGTAATACAAGTGAGAAACTGCTGGCTTAGAAGCATCAGACTTTATACAAAACAGTCTCCTTTTTCAAAGATGCATACTCACATTCTGTAAGAAACCTTGGAAATATATTATCTTTTCATTATGCTTCACTCAGTCTACGGGAAGAGTGTTCTTAGACCTTCAAAAATAAATCTAAGTGCATCTCCAAACATTAGCACCAGGTCCAGGTCTCTCAAAAGAAATGTTGTCAATCATGAGTTGCTTGTGCTGTGAGCCTCATCACCATGGTAATTCCAGGGCACTTCTACGTACTCACGCTCAAGATTTCCAGTTGCAGCAGGTTTCATAAGAGCTTAAAGAAAAACAAGGTTTTTTACCTTTCAGTGGTTGGAAATTGTATGTTGCTATTTTAACAGTATATGTCTAAGGTAAATTATCTCTTCGTCTTTGGAGTTAGTGTGTTTTAACTGTAGTTTTTCACTTCTGTAGTTATGAGTCCCTGCAAAAAGGGGCTCAAAATGCAAATAAGGAAGGATCTTTAACCTAGAAGAAGTCAGGGTCCTACCCTTCCAATCTGTTTTCCTGGAAAACTGCTTCTATTTTTCTACCTCACTACTCAGGTGATTTAGAAACATCCTAGATTTCTTTACAGAAAACATTTTTTTTTTTTTAAGTGGCCAAAACCATATAAGTAAAATGCATCCTCATTAGCATCTGCATGCAAGATCAGCTTTTTCTTCCTTGCAGCTCTGGTTTTCCCAGTGAGGGAAAGGGACTCTTGATGACAAGAAATCCCAGAAGTGCATGGGTCTCCACGGGACCTGTCCTGTTAAGATATTTCTCTTCCTCAGTCAAACCCTGTTTTTATTTCATAAGCCCCATTGAATTGAATCGGGCCAGCTGTGTGAAGACTGGTCCTCATATCCTGAACTAAAATAAAGTGACACACCTACTAATCTTCATTTTTGAACCCTGTAATTTAGGACTGAAATCTTGATCTCCTTTAAAACCTTTGGGAGCTTTGTAGTTCATTTTAGAGCCATGAATTTGTCCTGTGGGCACTTCCACCACGACAGACATAAACTGATATGAGCTCCTCCGCTTTGCTCCAAAGTGGCTGGACACAAGCTGTGACCTAGAAGATGCTGAGGTGCATTAGCAGAGCATGTGCTGAAGCTGACAAGCCTTGCTCTAAGGCAATAAGGCAATTCGGCTGGAACAGCAAGACTGTTGCAAAAAGGTATTTGATAACATCTTTCAATTGCCCTTGAAAGTTTTTCATTTTAGGGCCAATACATGTGTTAAATACCCATATCTCCATTCCCTTATTTCTTCCAATGGTTATCACTTGCCCTTTTTTACAAGGGACTGAACTAATTTTCAAACACCAAAAATGTCTCCTTCATATTTTAAATGTGGAGGGTAAGCTTATGTATTTGTATGGCATCTGAAATATATACAGCATTTGACTCAAACTGTCATTTATATGATAAGTAGAAGGCCTTTAAAGTAATAGCCCCATTTTATTTTCTGTGAAAGCACCTTATATAGGAGTTATTAATATGCAGGATTTTAAGTGTGAAACTTCAGTTATCAGAGGTGGAATTATTTCTAAGAATCTGGAAAGATAAGTCAGTACTATTACATGTTTAATTTGAATAAAGACCTATTTTAAGTATTTTTTGATGGCTTGACAATGTTTTCTTGTAATGTGACATCAAAATATAACAAGACAAGAAATGCCACCCTCATTGTACATGTTCCTAGCTGAGAAAAGTTTTTTGGGGTGAATGAGCACCCTTAAAAGCTATATTGAAATGGACAAGGAAGAATAAACAAAAAAGGAAACCTAGACAAAGGGGGAAAGAAAGCAATACATTTAAAGTTGTCTTAATTATTTGACAATGCAGGAACAACAAAATGCTATTGAAAATTGTTGTAGGCATAGAACAGTGTCTAAGATGAGCTTACTCCTTTTAGATAAATTTGGTTTTGTTCTGGTTATGCTTTTTTTTTAAAAAAAAAAAAAAAAAGTAGTAAGATCAAGTGTCCAAACTGATTAAACAGCTTCAAGATCATAAGATATGTTAAGTAACTACTTGTCTTTAGCACCACCTGGCAGGTGATGCAGCATCTGGCTTCATTCCTGCAGAGAAGATAATTAGGCCTGTAACAGACCCCCAAATCAAAAGGAAACAAACCAACACAAATTAGAACAGAAAATTGTGTATGTATAATAATTATGAAGAGAGCCAAACTAAACAATCTGAGGGAAAAAATGTAATGAGAAGGAATGGAGATGAACGGGGCTCTGAGGGTGAAGGTTGCACCACCGAGCAAGGCAAAAACAAAATGCATTTGTGCAATGCTTTCTTTTGTGAATGTGTCAGTCATTTGTGGATCTTAGCCTGGAAAGGAGACTGTTCCGTGAAATAAGGGGAATCTTGCAGTCTGGGGCTTGATTATCTGCCTATTTACTTCAGGTGTGATCCTCAGACATACTTCTGGTCACAAATCTGATGTTGGGTCTTAGTGGGCTCAGCCACAGCACTTAAGAGGCTAAAGACTGAAAGAGGCACAGCACCCTTGACTGTCCATCTTGACACTACTCAACTCTTATCTTGCTCAGGGGCTCTGTTTTGGATTGCTTTAGTAGGTGTCTTTAAGACATGGGCTTGCTCCAGGGACTGTTCCCAAAAAGGCAGCATAGGCAAGACTGCAGTAGGTTTGGCTCCTTTTACCCTACACTGTCCTCTAACACTGTATCAGTGGGGTCTGTACCTTCATACCTTAGCTGCCATCAAACCAAGGTATGCTACACAATCTTCTGACTTCATGCTGCCCCAGTATTGCTGTGGTGGCATCCAACACAGCCCTCACAACGTTACAGGTGCTTTGAACTGAAATGACATGCATTAAACAATACTATCTGAGAGCCACAGGGAAGCTACATGGGCCCAGAAGAGTAAGGTCAGCATCAAAGGCTACATAGTGTAGATGCATCCTGCCCACTCTAGAGAGAGTTAGAGTTATTCCTAAGCTACACAGATGAGAATCAATCCTTGACCTTTGGCCTTGGGGCAAGGACATCT